AAGTCATTGTCAACCTAGAATTCTATATTCAGCTAAATCATGTTTCTAGTCTGAGTTCAAAATAAAATAAAGACATTTTCAGACAAGGAAAAAACCAAGAGAGTTCACTTCTCATGGACCCTCAGTGAAAAAATTCCTGAAGAACATTCTCCAGTAAGATGGTAGTTGAAGGAGTGGGATACAAGGAGCCGTGGTGAATAAGAGACTTTTAACTCTAAAGAACAAACTAAGGGTTGCTGGGGGAGGTGACGGGGAATGGGCTAGATGGTGATGGGTATTAAGGAGGGCACTTGTGATGAGCACTGGGTGTTATACGTAAGTGATGAGTCACTAAAGTCTAGTCCTGAAACCAAAAAAAGGGGGGGAGGCATCATGACTTTAAAATAATTATTTTTCTCTTAAAAAAAAAGAAGCAGTGGTTAACAAACAGGTAGATTGGTAATCTAAACCCCAGCAAACACTGACTATTAAAAATTACTAATTTGTGTGGGGAGGTTTAGAAACAATATGGAAATACATTTTAGGCACCAGTAATATGGAATGTGGGAGAGGGGAAAAGGTGTTAAATCGTTACACGAGCTTGCATTTTTTAGGAAGATAGCAATACCAATTAATTTTGTAATTTGTTATGTCAAAATTACATATTAAAATGCTAAGTGTAACTCCTAAAAGAATAAAAAATAGAATACATAATTTCCAAGCCCATAAAAATAAAAAGGGGAACCATAAGAAAATATTAATACAATAAAAACAATTTAGAAAAAGAAAAGGCTTGAAAAAGGAAAAGCACAAAAAGAGGACAGAGACTTAAACCCAAATAGATTACTAGTCCCAATAAATGTATTTATTTCTCTTTTTAGTTTTTTTCCAACAAATTTAAACAATTAAATTCAGCTGTTAAAAGACAAAAATTCTCAGACCAGGAAATAAAATCCAACCATTATGTTCTTCTTAAAGAGACAAATCTGGGGGTGCCTGGGTGGCTCACTCGGTTAAGCAGCTGCCTTCGGCTCAGGTCATGATCCCAGGGTCCTGGGATCGAGTCCCGCATCGGGCTCCCCGCTCAGCAGCGGAGTCTGCTTCTCTCTCTCCCTCTGCCCCTGCTCGTGCTCTCTCTCTCTCTCTCTCTCTCTCTCTCTCTCTCTCGATCACTCTCTCTCAAATAAATCAATACAATTTTTGTAAAAAATAAATAAATAAATAAAGAGGTAAATCTGAGCCATGCCTGGGTGGCTCATTCAGTTAAACCGCCTGACTTAGGCTCAGATCATGATCTCAGGGTCCTGGGATTGATCGGAGCCCTGAGTCGAGTCAGGCTCCCTGCTCAGTGGGGAGTCTGCTTCTCCCTCCCCCTCTCCCCACTCCCTCTCATCGCCCCTCCCCTTCCCTGTGCTCATGCTTTCTCTCTCTCTCTCTCAAATAAATAAATAAGATCTAAAATAAAAATAATAATAATAAAGAGACGAGTCTGAGACATAATGATATAAGAATGTTCAAAGTAAATAGATGGCTGTACCTACGCCAAGCAAATGCTATAGGAAGGACAGCTGGTGTGGCAAAAAGCATTATTAGAAATTAACTAGACTTCAGCTTGCAGCAAAGATGGACACAACTCACCTGAAACAACTAAAGAAGTGGGCAGATATTTGAAACAATGGTTTTTCACACTTTGGACATCAGACGGCACAGATAGTGATCCCTGAGAGGGGAAACAAATTTGGCAAGCTGTATGATTATTCCGGTTTAGGGCCTGGAGAGTTTCCAGGACATGGCACAGGCAGGGAGAATCCTGGCAAACCCATGGTCTCCCTGAGATGAAGAGGGAAGTCTGGGAGTCTGAGGCAGGGAGGCAATGCTGCTATGGTTTGCAGGCATAGTCCTGGACAGGAGAGAATTGCACACAGAGAAAGACAGTTCCAAAGATCTGCGCAGGTTCCCCCTCAAGTCTTCAGCTGCGTGCTCATCAGCATATGAATGAGAGGAAGCTACCAAAAATGACCCAAAAGGAACAGAGGGAACAATCCAGGGAGATAACACAGGGCTAGGAATAGTTGGATTCCCATCAGACAAAGTGGAAAAACTTGTAATTCATGGAACATTGAATAATCAGGATACTACCTCAGTAATGGGGAAAAATCAGCCCTAGACTAAAGACTACTGGAGTCCCACCAAAGCAAGCTTAAAAATAAAAAATCCTGGGGTGCCTGGGTGGCACAGTCGGGTAAGCATTGACTCTTGGTTTCAGTTCAGATCACGATCTCAGGATCGTGAGATCGAGCCCCTCATCGGGCTCTGTTGCTCAGTAGGGAGTCTGCTTGAGATTCTCTCTCTCCCTCGGCCTCTACCCCTCCCCCTGCATTCTCTCCCTCTCGCTCTCAAATAAATAAATAAATCTTAAAAAAAATAAAAAATCCTTAAAAGGATCAACTGTTCCCTAGTAATTTAACTGTGTCCTAGAACAAAGCTTGAGAACATTTACAGAAACACAAAACATCTAGCATCTAACAAGGTAAAATATACAATGTCCGGAAACAAATCAAAACCTAAGCCCAGCATGCAAAGAAGCAGGAAACTACGACCCGTAATGAGGAGAAAAGTCAATTAATAGAAACACATCATCCAAAAACAGCACAGATGACAGAATTAAAGATAAGGACACTACGTTGCTCTAACTATATCCCGTAAGTTCAAGAAGGTGGAGGAAAGAGCATGATAAGCAGAGACATGACAGATCCCCCCAACAAGACCCAAATTGAACCCCTAGAGATAAAAACTACAATGTCTGGGACAGGTTTCACTGGATGGTGTGAGCAGCAGACTGGCCACTGCTGGAGATAAAAGAGAGTTCATTAGAATGTTATAAAAATCCTGAACCACCATGCACCTAACAATGGAGTCTCGAAGTATATGAAACAAAAATTTACAGATCTAAAGGAGGATCTGATGACTTCATGACCATGGTGAGAGATTTTTAACATTGCTTTGTCAAATTCTGATAGAAAGGCAGAGCTTTAAATTAAAACAACAACAAAATGGGGTGCCTGGGTGGCTCAGTCGGTTAAGCGTCTGCCTTCGGCTCAGGTCATGACCCCGGGGTCCTGGGATCGAGCCCCACATCGGGCTCCCTGCTCAGCGGGAAGTCTGCTTCTCCCTCAGCCTCTGCCATTACCCTTACTTGTACTCTCTCCCTCTGTCAAATAAATAAAATCTTTAAAAATAAATTAATTAAATAATAACAAAGTATAAATTAAAAATATAAATTCAAGGTAAAAATAAACTGGCATTGCAGGTCATATATCTTCATGGACTGAGACATTTGTCATCTACTGTGAGCTCCCCGAGGGGCAGAATTCAGGATTGACCCCTCAGAGCCTCACATGGAGCCTGACATATTTTAGTTTATCAATAAATATTTATTGATTTATTATTTTAATTCTAAATAGCTAAAACATTTGTAAGGCCATAGAGCATATAAATGCAAAATTAACAAGCTTGAATTAATGGATATATATAAAAGTGCACCTAACAACAAATGGAACATACATTTTTTTTTAGGATTTATTTATTTATTTTAGAGAATGAGAGCAGGGAGAGGCAGAGAGAGAGAGAGAGAGAAACTTTAGCAGACTCTGTGTTGAGCACGGAATCCAACCTTGGGCTCAATCACACCATCCTGAGATCACGACCTGAGCCCAAACCAAGAGTCTGACGCTCGAGTGACTTCACCACCCAGGCACCCCTCATACATACTTTTTTCAAAACCATGCGAAACATCTGTGAAACTCAACCATAGAGTAACTATTAGACAATGAAAATGAGCTATCATGCTGTTGCAGGAGAGTCAAACTGTAACTTGTTTTCTTGCTATGTAAATAATGAATTCAGATACTTTTGACGGTCCTTGGAAATACAGTTATGAACCCTGTTTTGCTTTCTGGGAAGTTGAGGAGGGCGCAATACTTCTCTCTCCCCTCTTCAAGCTGACAAGCTACTATCACTTCATAATCAGAACATAGCAGATCCTAAGAGGTGGTTTAAACTTCACAATCAGAGAATGTAAGAATTCAGATCAAGTCTCTGTATGGATCTTCACCTTACTGATAAGAGGAATATAATAATATTAACTATAATATTATACTATATTAACTGTATAATAAACCGACATTCAGTTCTCATTTCATATGTGGCTCTTATAAACTCCTCCATCAAAAAGCCCATTAAAGTGTCAGTATTGTTAGCTGTCTGGGTTGATTTCTCTTATCTGATGATAGGCAGGAGTCTGGTGCCCAAAATAGTGAAAACAAAATAGACATCAGTTCTTGTAGAATATTGCCTTTAAAAAAAAAACACCTTTGGGGAGCCTGGCTGGCTCAGTCAGTAGAGCGTGTGACTCTCTTTCTTTTTTTAAGATTTATTTATTTATTTGAGAGAGAAAGAGAGAGAAAGTGAGAGAGCACAAGTAGGGGGAGTGGCAGGCAGAGGGAGAGGGAGAAGCAGGCTCCCCGTTGAGCAGGGAGCCCAATGCGGGGCTTGATCCCAGGACCCTGAGGTCATGACCTGAACCAAAGGCAGACGCTTAACCGACTGAGCCACCCAGGTGCCCCAAGTGTGTGACTCTTGATCTCATGAGTTCAAGCCCCACATTGGGTATAGAGATTACTTAAAAATAAAATCTTAATTAAAAAAAATTTTTTAACACCTTTATTGAGCTATAATTCATACCATACAGTTCACCCCTTTGAAGTCTATAATTCAATATTTGTAGTATATCCAGTTTGAAATCATCAAAGCAATCAATTTTAGAATATTTTCATTACCCCCAAAACAAATTCTGTACCCATTAACAGTCGCTTTTCATTGTTCTCAGCCCTAGTCAACCCCTAATCTACCCTCTGCCTCTATAGATTTGCCTATTCTGGACATTTCATATAAATAGAATTATACAATATGTGGTCTTTGTGACTGGCTTCTTTCATTTAACATAATATTTTTTTTTTATCTTTCTTCTTAGATTCTACTTTATTTGGTAAAACTCAGAAACTAACAACCAATTCACGGTCCCCAACTCCTTCCCTCTGAAGGAGGCAGCTCCCCAGAGACAAAAAGGCTATGGCGGCTTGGGTATCACCCACCATCTCCAGGTTTCAGACTCGGGCAGCTCATGGCCTGGTGGTCAGGCCTCCAGACCCAAAGCTCTCAGGCAACAGAGAAAGCAAAAGGAAGCTCTCACTTCAGAGACAATGAACCCATCCCGCCCCTCTTCCCCCCTACCCACAGCATCCCCGCACCCTCAACCTAAATAAAAAGATAGCAGAGGACAACGCATGAGTGTGAGAGACGCACGCACGCACGCACACACACACACAGCACAGCACACACACAGAGCTTCCTTTCAGCCCAAGAGCTGCAAAATCCCTCCCTGGAAGGAGGACAACTGGCAACACCAATCAAGGCTTGGTGTCCAAAGTGATGGTTGGAATCCTCTGGGACTGGTAAAAATCCAGGGAGAAAATATTCCACCTTCACCCCATTCCCAGGTCTCCAGTGAACTGGTTTTAGTTCAAAGAAATCCCCATTTCCACACAGATAGACTGTGGCTTCTGGGACAGCTAGCTTAGGGAAAGGCTTCCCACAGCCGAGAAGACAATGGTGGGGGAGGGGAGCAGGGCAGGAGAGCAAAGCCTTCGGGGAGGGCCTGGGAAAGGGGCTACCAGCCCTGGGCTAATGGATCCGCGTCAGCTCCTCCACAACCTTGATCAGGTCATCTGCTGTGGCCTCTCGCTTCATCCCGCTGCCATCATCATACTGTAGGTTTGCCACAACCTCCTGCATCTTGGGCCGGCTGATGTCCAGGAAACTCTCGATCAAGTCTCCATCGATGAAGCCCATGGCTGGTTCTGTCTTTCGCTCAGTATGAAAAGATCTCCAGAAGGAGTGCTCAATCTTGCCCACACTCTTGATGACTTTATTGAGCTGATTCTGCATGTCCAGCAGGAGGTTTGTACCAGCTCCCTGACAGCGAGGTCACCAGCCCGATCATGCCGTTGACTGTGCCAAAGAGCACCGAGCCCTGCATGGGGGTGGACGTCTCGCCCAGATTCTGCGTGACCAGGGAGCCATGGCAAAAGACGTTGACGAACTCGCCCAGGTGGAAGAGACCAACTTCCTGGAGGTGTTGCCGCTCCTCGTCAGTGGTGGCAGCGCTATCCTTCTGACACACAAACAAGTTAAAGGCATTTTCAGCCCCCAGGAAATTGTCATCATCCAAGATTTCCACAGCACTCATCCAGTTAGGATTAAAGTCTCGAGCAATCTCTTCAAAGTTCCCCTCCATGGGCTTGTAGGCAAGCAGCAGCACTGAGCGCATCAGGTCGCCCACCAGGATGAAGTCGCCCTTGGTCTTCAGGTAGAGGGCCATGATGTTGTTGTAGTGATTGCACTCAGTACGAAGCTCCTTTTCTGTTGTCCACTCATAAAGCCGCACCGTGCTGTTGATGCTGGCTAACAGCTTGCCGTTGAATTCCACCATGGAGTACACGGCTCCTTTCACTTCCTTCTCGGCCACGGTCTGTAGTTTTCCGTCAGAATACTGAAAGACCACGATTCGACCCTGCTTGGGCTCCGCCTCTTCAGGATACACCATGGCCGTGCCCACGATGAAGTACGTGTTGGGGTCTTTGCCCAGCTTGCAGGAGACCAGGCTGAGGGCATACTCATTCTGCAGGAACTGGTGGGCATGAAGCACTTCGAAGGTGTGCTGGTCGATGATGAGGAGATTGTGCACCTCCACCTCTTCTCCAAAGGAGGTCTCGTGCGGTGCCGTGCTGCTGGAGAACAGCTTGCTGGAGCTGACGCTGCTGGACAGGGCCTGGGTGCTGGCACTGGGCCTCAGGGCCGTTGTGCCGCCACTTGTGTCCTGGACTTCGATCCGGCTGGAGAGGACCCTGAAGCACTGGGACACTTCCTGATAGCAGATCTTCCTGGGAGACTTGTAGAGGGGAACTGTGCGGATGTGCAGCTTCTGGATCTCATCGATGGTGCCAATGGTGAGGGTGCTGTTGTTGGCCAGTGCCAGGCTGTCAGGATAGCCATCAGAGTTGAGGGGACACATGTAGTTGACTTCCTTGAGGTTGACATTGGAGAAGACCAATTTGTGGTTGCTGCTGTAGATGACAGTGGGGCGGTCAGAGCAAGCAAAGACGTTGGTAGTAGAAAGAGAACGGAAAGTCCTCAATACCGTGGGCTGGGTGCCCAGAGTCACCTTCTTACGGTCGCTCAACAGGCCTGTCTCAATGTTGAGCCTGAAGTAGAAAAGCACCCCATCTCCCAAGGCACAAAGGAGGTAGTGGCTACTCTCAAAAGTGGTCATCAGGATGGAACGAGGAATGATCTCTCCACCCAGCATCTCTTTGTGCAGTAGCTCAAAAGAGGGCAGCTTCAAGATACGCGCCGAGATGTCTGTCCAGAGGCCAATGGCACAAAGAGGGGACAGCCCATTGCCGTCCCCCAGTGGGGTGATGTCCAAGCAGGCCACTTCATGTTCCATCTCTGTGTGGCTGAACAAAGAGGAGTATGGCCAAGGAAGGTAACATAATATTTTTTTAAAGTTTATTTTTGTTTAAAAAAATTCTTTTAACTAATCTCTACACCCAATGTGGGGCTCGAACTCACAACCCCAATATCAAGAGTCACACGCTGTACGTACTGTGCCAGCCAGGCACCCCTACATAACATTTTCAAGGTTTGTTCACGTTGTAGCATGTGTCAGTACTTCATGTCTTTCTACTGCCAAATAATACTCCATTGTATGGATAATACCGCATGTGACTTATCCATTCATCACTTGATGGATATTTCGGTTGTTTCTGCTTTTCAACTATTATGATTAGCGTTGCAATGAACAATCCTGTACAAGTTTTTGTGGGGACGTACGTCTTCATTTCTCCTGGGTATGTGGCAATGGAATTGCTGGGTCACATGCGAACTCTACGAGGAGCTGCCAGACTTCTCTCCAGCGCAGCCGCACCATTTTGCATCCCACCAACATTTTTTAAGGGTGTCGATTGCTCCACATACCTGTCAACACTCGCTATCATCTGTCTTTGACAAGTGAAGCCGTCATGATGGGTGTAAAGAGCTATCTCACTGCGGTCTGAATATTGCTTTACTGAGGCTTATTTCTGATCAGGTATTTTGCAAGACAAGTTTAATTACTTTGCTACAAAATGCATTGTTATTAACCTTGTTTATCCACAAAAATAATCAGGTTTGATATATGAAAATGGAAGGTATTTGGTTACCTATTACCATGTGACAAACCACCACAACTCAGGGGCTTAAAATAACAACCATTTTATTAGCTCTCATGATTCTATAGGTTGACAATGATTAGCTGGGTGATTGTTCTGCTCTGTGTGATATCGGCTGGTGCTACAGTCACCTGGGGGCTCGACCGCATGGGACCATCCAAGATAACTCATCACCATGTCTGGCACCTTCTTGGAGATGGCTGGCAGGCTGGACTCAGCAGGAATACTTGGGTGGCTGGGACTCTTTCTCTCTCTACCTGCCCTTTCTAGCAGGGTAGCTGGACGTCATACCTGTTAATACAGAGTTCCCAAAAGTCCAAAGTGGAAACTTTGAGACCTTTCGAAAGCTTAGGCCTAGAACTGGCTCAGCATCGCTTCCACCATATTGTATTGCTTGAAGGGAATCTGGGCCAGTCTAGACACCCAGGCATGAGTCTTATAAGGCACAGATCCTGGGGGCCATCTTTGAAGTCTGGCTACTGCAAAAAGAATAGCTCACTCACGTAATAATATCAACAAATGTTCTAATTTACTAACATTACTGTTACGTGTTTTCAATGTTTAAGGCATTTCTGGAATCTACTATTCAGGACTTTTTGGGAAGCAGGAAAGAATTAGGTTTTGCAAGATAATCTAAGAAAACATCCTCCCCCACCTTCCAGATTTCTTGTTTTCTCATGTGTAAGGGAGATCCAAAAAGGATCATTCTTACAAAAGAAGCTAGAGAAAAAAAGACCCCCATGGCAGCTAAGAAAAATTTTGCTCTATATGGAAACTGTCGATCATTCCCATTGTCAAAGCACACCTTCTTCTGATGCTTTTGGAAGATTGCCCTACCCACCATTCCACATGTTAGATTATTTCTGGATGTGCATGCTTGTATTTCCCAACACGGTCCACCCTCCCCCATGGGCTCCACTTTGAAAGGAAGTAGAGGCTCCATGCTGCAGGATTTCAGACCCCAGTCCTAGACAACACACCCTGAAGATGTTCTGCATTTTACATTTGGAGGCACCTTGCCAGTATCCAATCCAAAGGTAAATTGCGATTTACTATTTTAAAAGCACTCACTAAGTCCCACAATGTTGCTGACTCCTGATGAAGTAGGAAGCTCCCATCCCCAGAAGCGTTCATACAGAACAGGGTCACCTGTCACAGCTGCTGTAAGGGTTTGGGGAAGTTGGAAAAACCCTAACAAATTCCAGGTCTTATTATTTTAAACCTGTTCAAAGTAGACAAAGCATTGCCCACTAATGAAATGCTCCATTTCTAAAGTCAGACAGATCTGGATTTATAACCTAGATTCACCATTCACCAGCCATATGACCCTTGGATGGGTGGGTCATTTAAGACCTGTCAACCTGTTTCCTGATCTGTACAATGGGGATAATAATATTACCTATATTTAAGGTATGGGTCCTACAGTTGATCCAGAAGGCGTGCAGGTGCTCCAGCCTTGGACCAGGAGCCTTCACTTCCAAGGTCACAGATTCCTCTGAGGATCTAATGAGAGCAGTGGGTACTCCTTATTTCCCCAACCCGTGTTCATATGATGAAAATGTTGCTACAAATTCATGGGATTCACAGACCCCCGGTTGCCCATCCATGGTTCTTCTAGAAAGTTCCAAACCCTGGCTTTAGACTAAATACAACAGCAAGAAGCCCACAAAGAAAAGGCAGCAACTCCTCCTTATGAAAACTATAGCAGCTCCAAAGGCAAACATGCACTGTGTCTCTAAGAATCTCAGTCTATCTTTGATGTCTGGAAGTGTAATCTTCTGAGGCTGAGCTGGCTCTACACAAATCTTCCCATTTTGTGGCTTTAAGAACTATCTTGGGAGAAATAAAATTTAATAAGCAACACATGACCATCTTACCTTTAACAGTTTAGTCATCTTTCTACAATCTAAATAATTTTTTGAGAAGTTCCCTGAGGAAAACCTAATTTTATTCTTTCCAGAATTTCCCCTGGATCTTCACTCTCTGTTCTCCCACATAGAGACTAGAAGGCACAGATAGATTGAGAAGCTGAAGTTGGAAGCCAGGTCTGTCATTAAAAAGGAGGAAGGCAACTTTGCAAATTTTCAGGTTTCTCACTCAAGCCCTGGCCTGAGTATTACCTAGAGGCTTACCAACCTATGAGCATTTATTTGATGGTGTAAGGCTTGGAAATGCTGAGTGCCCACTGCATAAGGAGACCTGGTCCTATGGCAGATGGGGAGAAATATCAGGTAACCCATCTCAGGACTAGAGAAAGCTACTCTTCTAAGTCTGTCCTCCCCTAGGAGGGGACCAGTAGGGTCTCTGCATGGATGAGGAAACATTCTGATATCTTCTGAGCATATTATTATTATCGGTAATGATTGACTTTTCTCAAGAAATAAATGGGTAACATCTCTTGTGTTTGACTAAAAAGTTTTTGTGTCCCTTACATGGCTGTACACATCTCCACTTGTGTTGTTTTAAGCTAGAGCTTAATTTTTAATAATTCATTAATGAATCTTGTTTAACCTCACTTAATCTTCTTGCCTAATTCTCCTTTACATTAAGGATTAAAGACAGAAAAGGCGGAGCCAAGTGATGACTCACTCTTCTTTCAGGACTGACCCCCAAAGGGAGACAGATGAGAATATACGTCCCAGGAATGAATGAAACACACAAGTCTAAACTGAAAAATAAATCATCTGAGTCGCAGTCTATTTATTCTAACTTCCCCTTTCTTTCATGGCACAAAAATTAGTCTTACAAGGTTTGCAAGTGCTATTCACTGCTGCACCTTCCACAGAATACTCTCTAATGAAGCTGACATTACTCACTCACTGCCACAAACTATTTGCTCGGAGCTGCTTCTCTAATAGTGGGGATGGGCCACACTGAGTCATCTACACTCTCCCCCCAGGCCCCTAAGAATCCAGGAGATTATTTACTTGACAGTTGGCCAGGATTAGCAATGCACGGACTGTGGCTGTGCAGTGGAATGGGGGGTTGGGGGGTGGGGACAGGTAGGCCGTGGACCTTGGGGCCCAGAGCTGTACTAGGCTTAGGAGGCTGGAAGGAGAGGCTGCATCTCAGACTGGTTGGTTGGAGCCTCATGAGGCCAACCTACCCTGCAGAACCCAGAAATGGTGCCCTGGTCACGTTGGCGGGGCTCCGTGTTGCCCTTACCTACTTCCTGTTTCTGCCCAAGCCCGTGAAGTGTATCCTGACGTGGTGAGGCACGAAGGGTCCCTGCTCTGGGGCCGCCTGTGTTTTGCTCCTTCTGCATTAAACCTGGAAAGCTTCTTTTCCACCACATTCATATAAGCATCAGCCTCGTGTGTTGGGGGAGAATAAAGTAGGAGCTTCCTATACGCCAAGATTTAGGGGTGCCAGATAAAGCCCTGTTCCCTGAGGACACCTGCCACCTGGCTTAACATTCCCACAGGGCACCCTCCTTCCAGGTAAGGCATCGAAAGTGGCTGCTAAAAAGCAAATGAGGTTTGGGTGGTCTAACAGATAATCCTATTCTCGGCCATTAATGCCTGTCAAATTCATTGATAAGATTTGCCCACTGGGACATTTGAACTCTGAAAATAGCACTCCGGACTGGTTATTTTTTACTGCATGCTGGAGCCCAAATTTTCAGATGCAGATTCCTGCATATTTTTGCCAGTAATGATTCCAGCCATCGCATCGAGATTTTATGTAGAAAGTGTGGAATCATGATGCTATCAAACACAAAACAGTCCACACTTTACAGCCCACATTCCTCAGCTGGTTCAAAGGCTGCGTTCTTCGTGTTGTAAGAAGGCAAAAGCCAAACCAAGATGCGGGGGGGGGGGGGGGAGTGTTTATATACTCTGGCCTCCCTGTGATCCAAACCAGGGAAGGAAAGTGAGAAAGATTATAAAGAATGCAGAGCAGCAGATTAGCAGTAAAGAAGTTCATGTCTTTACATGGTAGTCTCCCCTTCTCCGTGGGAGATACAGGCTTTCTGAATTCACTTTTGCCTGGGCTAGTGGTTGGCAACCTGCTCTGTGGAGTGCAGGTGTGTTCTGGTCTGTTCCCCCAGCCATATGATAAGCCAAAGAGGATAGTCTCCATCCCAGCAGGGCTGGACGATGGCATTTTGGAGGGTAAGTTCAAAATAGGAGAGTATTACCAAGTCCATTTGACTTCATAACTAGACCACATTCTCCAAACCAGTTTTGTAATGAAGCCAGCATTTTATTTTATTTTTTTAAGATTTTATTTATTTATTTGAGAGAGAGAG